CCCCCCCCCACATCCTCCTATCCTTAAATCCACCCCTTCCTCCTCATTTGTTTCTGAATTGCACGTTTCTCCCACCTCCTCTTTTCCCCACAAGGAAAGTGTGGCCTACCCGCTGTGACAAGAGCTGGCTTTTTGCTGCTGTTTCATGCTTAAGAATGTCGATGTCCCGAGTGAACTACTACAATCTAAAGAGGGAGAGATTAATAGCAGGTGCCCATTTATCCGATCGCCCGCTTGTGCGGGTAGTCTTTGTGCAACAATCTCGACTGCCACAATGATCCGACATTTTCAAAGTGATGACACTTCGACTTTTAGCTCAGTTCAATTTTGGCAGACAAAGTGTTGTTGCTGTTAACACATTCACTACGTATTTTATGTTATAGTTAGAGTCTTCGTAGCGAAAGAGATATCAAATCAAGCTTGATAGTGAAATTTGCCGTCCGTTGGTGAGGAAGTCAAAATTATAATTCTTTTTCGAATTCTAATTTAGGTGTTTTCACGCCCCCATCAACACAATTTAGGTCATTGGGGCGGAGACGGGATGAGGAGAGGGAAGCAACGTCCCACCAGAAAGACCAGGACACTCCAATTTGTTCGTTTGTTGGGATATTGTATCCCACTCTTAGCTGAGTGTTGACCTGACAGGCAGGGTCGAAGTAGCCAGCCTCTCACTGGGTTCTAAATCGTTCTAAATTGTGTCAATCATTATTAGGTCACGATAGAGGTCGGATACAGAGCTTCCTTCATGACCGCAAGGTGTCGATCATAAGATTTGTTTCTTTTAGCTCGGTGTTTTACAGCGCTTGTTACACAATCAGGTCATGTAAGTACCGAAGAATAGGGGTACCCAACCACCTACTCGCTCATAGGAAACACGAGCTACCGAGGACTGATGACAATTCATTGGGTGTCCATCTGGGCTGTACATATCTATTTCCTTCGTGTTTGTTTTGGTAAGTCTTTTACGGCGCGCACAACTGCATAAGGCCATATGAGCGCGCGGGACACATTAAACACCAACCACCCACAGTAGCATTTAGATCAAGTTCGACGACCGTATTCGGACAAGCGTGCAGCGTCCATAACGTGAGGCTGCTGAGATTCAGAAGAAGTGTCAAACCACACCAGAGCACCCGCCAACCACTCACAGTGGCAGTTACATAGGGTTCTTTTT